GCGCCCCCTGAACCCTCAACCCTAAACCGCTTTTGAGTTAGTTTTGCTGCAACCCTAAACCTTAAGCCCTTAAACCCTAAACCCTAAACCTTGGCATCGGACTTACGCGCCGGACAGGTGCTGGAGAGGAAGATGCGAGTTTCAGGCCGCCAGCTGCTTTTGGGTCATTTTGGGCCGTTCGCTAGTCCCCAATACCCGACCTTTAAACTTGTTGGGTTCTTATAGTTTAGTAGTAATCTGAAAGTTTTACCTTTTATTGCCCTGGCTTCTTGGGGAAGTAAGAGAGAGTCGAGGTAGATAGGGACTTAACCGGGATACGATAGGTAGAATCGTTAGAATTGGAAGGGTCCAGGGTCTATTGGAACAGGGTTTTTGTGGAGTGGTTTATACTATTACATGAGATGTCTAACTCTTGTCATGTCTTGGTGTTTAGTGCAGGGGTCTGCTGTGGTAGATGTATATATGAGGACCCGCAGGGGATATGATATACTAGTTAGGTTTTAGGGTTTAGGGTTTAGGGTTCAGGGGATATTTTGATCCCTACATTACTGCAGAATGCCAGAGAGCCCATACCCTAAACCCTAAACCCTAAAACCCTAAAGCCCTAAACCCCATAGCCCTTTATCTGGGGTAATGTGCTTGACTGGACCTACATCATTTGACTTCAACAAGGGGATGCTGGGCTTTTTTGAAGCCTGATGACAAAGCTCCGGGGGGAAACAGGACTCTCAGTCTAAGTCTAGGGCCCAAAGCACAAAAACCTTAAACCATAAACCCGGAATCCGAAAAACCTAACCTAACCTTATGGCCTATACATCAACCCTAAACCCAAGTCAGGCGATGATTTTACGGTTCGTTCAGCACCATGCTGCTGCACCGTGTCTTGAAGCATTTTTCTGACAAGTTCATCAATTCTGATGGATTTGATCTGGCGACTGGGCTGCTCACTGGCGATGAGCGGCTCAAGTATACAGGAAGGACTGTTGATCAGGCAGGCAATGCTATCAACGAGGTTAGTGGAGCACTGCGCTTACAAACTGCTGTTGGCAGAACAACTTGTGGTATCAACAACAATGAGCTCAATCGTGCAGTGAACCTCCGCAACATGCTGAGGACTGACACTCCTACTGTGTTGACTCTGAAACACACAGCACAATTGTTCTTCACACCAGATGGCCGCATCGATGCCTCGATTAGTCGAGACTACAGACGAGCGGCTCCACTGGTAGGAGGTGTGCTGAGGCAGTGGAATCCAGACGCACTCAATGCATCATTGCCAGCTCAAACTGGACTGGTCTGTACTTCAGTTTACTCAACCAGTATATGGACGAAACTGTTCACGGCAGCATTCACTGCTCAGATCATCGAATCTCTTGGTGGTTTTGACGTCTTGGATGCGGCTGGAGCAAGGAGATTTACAGACAGTCCAGCAGGTGGCTGGCCCAGTATACCCTTCCTAAGCCCGGGGTTGATCGCTCCAGGTCAATTGGCTGCAATGTTCGGAGCCCCTGCACCTGGTGTGATAGGCAACGATTTGACCGCTGCTCGTTGGGTATTTGGTGGTGGGCCTGTGGCAAACGCACCAGCAAATCTTCCACTCGACCTAGCTAACCATCCTGGACCTGTAAGGTCAGAAGACATCTTGGTGATTGATGATCTAGGTTCACGGTTGAGTGCGCGTGGCGTTCGCATTCTTGTCGGAATTCTGGGGAACAATTTCTGCCCATGGGGGCAGCAGGGCCCAGGTGGCCAATTTGCATTACATGGCACACGTGCTTATCGTGGTAGGCCGCGCTGTGTACTTCTTTTGGGGAGGACCATGGCTGCTTATCCTCTGAATCTGGATACTATGCCAGGATCAGACGAAATCTACCGACTGATTGACGACCTATCGGCGATACTGCCAGATGTGGCAGGCATCGCTCAAGGGTTTTGTGATGCCATTACGACTTGCTTTGGGAAGAGGACTTCAAGTTCAGCGAACGCAGCAGTTGCGCAGGATCTTGGTGGAGCCTATCCTGATGCAGCGGCAGCTACATGGAACTTGGGTGCTGATCTCGACCCTGCACATGGTGGATTCATATCTCCACGAGTGTATCTCGACACTATAAACCAGGTCTTTGGCGGTGTCTTCAGTAAGGAACAGCCAGCAGACCTTGGGAGGTTAACAGCTACGCTGGTCAATTTGGATGCAGGACAATTTGCCAGCAAAATGTCATGGTTGGCGGATGCTGCGACGACTATAAGCAGCGCCTTTGACGGCAATTACCTCCCAGCTGGAACTCAAATTGACAATCCAGGCGCATTGTTCTCACAGATGTCACAGCTATGGCAGCGTGTACCTGTGGGGATCAACGATGTGCATACGATGCCAACGATCCAGCATGGTTTCTTAGCAAACAGGACAATCTTTTTGGCTTTGATGGCTGAGGATGATCCTGTTATGCAGCGCATGTTCATTGGCGCTGATGCTTCAGAGATAGATTTTCCCGCAAATGCCAGGACTGGTTGTCTCACTGGTTTTCGTGATTCAATCTTACCAAGTCAAGGGGCCATGGAAAAATGTGCCTTCAAGATGGTTCCTGGATTGCTGGAACCATATCGGGTCGCGACTCAAGAGCTATGCAAACAGGAATGCGATCACATTTCTTGGTCGCTGGTGACTCCTCAAGTCATCGGGAGATCATGGGCAGCGGTGAGAGATGTGGAGAATGTGCAAATCGAAGTTGAGGAAGATGATCCCTCATCTGCAGCCAGGAATGGTGTGAAATCATTCGCTGCTTTTGTGGCAGCAGCACTGCGCGAGGCAGCTGGGGGCGCTGCGTTGGTACCACCGCAATTTGCAAACATGTTGCGGCTTCAGATCTCATTTCATGATTCGGGGGTTATCCTTCAGACAGGTGTGATTCAAGTTCCACTTGATACGAATGGTTTCCTGGTCATTGAGACTATGCCAAACATTGGTAGGCAAGCGGTTTGGAGTGAATACAGAATCCCAACGGCAGCGGGACAATTGCCTCAACGCGCTGCGATTATCGAAACGTGGCCGAGGGATATGTTAGCATGGAGCAGTTTGAGGACTTGGTATCCAGGAACCTGGGCGACCTGGTCGAGAGAGCTCTTGAGGGCATCTCCACGGATGAGGAGTAAGGGTGACTGTTGACGAACTGCCGCACTGAGTGAGCCTGAGAGTCGCAAGTGATGTCGGGAGCCGGTTTTCTAGGACGGAGAAGTGTAACAACACCTCACTGTTCCTTGCTCTCCCCGAATGGGGATTCTTCTGTATGTTTGATCATGCGGATGAAAAGGGCCCTTAAAAAAAAAAACCGTAAACCCTATAATAAACCCTAAACCTAAACTTCATGTTCTCATGGTGACGGAACCTGGTGTCTCTCGGATTCTAGCATCTTTATGGCTTTGTGGCTTCCAGTTTTTGGGGGTTCTGGGCTGGTGGGGTGTAGGCATTGTGGGTTTCGGGGCGAGGCTTTAGGGGTTGAGGGTTTCGGGTTCGTGGATAGTTCCTATCGTCTCCATTGTAGTTCCCTGTTTTGGGTTTCGCCAATTTTCTATTAAGGATTTTTATAGGGTGTCCCCCAAAAAAAGGAACTACAATGGAGACACTATTGGTTTAGGCAATTTAGGTCTTTGGGGCTCTGGGCTTCAGACCCTGAAGGAGTTGGGGCCCAGGGCTTCATGGTTGGTCGTAGGGTATTTGGTGACTCCCCATGTTCGGCAGGGTTTAGGGTTTAGGGTTTAGGGTTTAGGGTCTAGGGTTTAGGGTTTAGGGTTTAGGGGTTAGGGGTTTAGGGTTTAGGGTATTTGGTAAAGAAGGCTTTATGACTCCCCATGCTCGGCCATTGTTCACTGCCGTATCCCGAAGGCCTTCTTTGTCCTTTAGGGCCTCCAGACGAGTCCTTTCGGTGCGAGTTCTTCTAGGAACCGACTTGGCATCATATCTGAGTCTGGAAAAGATTTTGTAATTCTTCAAAAACCAGCGCCATAAACCATAAAACCCTAAAGCCTCTAAAAAACCCGATAAAAGGTCGATTAAGCAAAAGGGAGCGACCCCTACAAAACGTTTTTGGCCATATATAGACCTTACTAATACCCGGATCGCGCCAAAAGCAAAGCCCTGGGCAGGGCTCCTGGTGGATGCGCGGTTTCGGGAGCTGGACTGCTTCGGCAGCCGTGAGGACTACCTTATGTTAGGGTTTTGGGGTTTAGGGTTTAGTGTTTAGGGTTTTGGGTTTTGGGTTTTGGGTTTAGGGTGGGTTTAGGGTTTCGGGGGATTCAGTTTAAAGCTTTGGTGTTCGGTTTAACTTTAAGGGTTTGGTGTCCGGTGTAAGATGGCCTAAGGGTGAATGGCAGGGTTGCCAGTTCAGGTGTTTGTATGAGTTTCTTTAGGAGTCTTGGTTCGGCCCAGCTGCATGGGCAAGCCAGTTGGAAAAATGTGTGGAATCACGGCTCTACTTCCAGAATGCTTAGGGATGAGGGTTTTGGGTTTTGGGTTTAGTTGTTTAGGGTTTAGAGCTACTTCCCGAATTCTTAAAGCTAGGTTTTTGAAAACGTAGGATTTCAAGATGCAGGGCAGACAAAGCACGCATATAGGCGAGGATAGCTCCGAAGACACCTCCCTAAACAAAAAGCTAAACCCTAAACCCTGAACCCTAAACCCTAAACTCTGAGCCGTAAACCCTAAACCCTGAACCCTAAACAGGCCCTAAACCCTATACCCTATAAACCCTATAAACCCTAAACCTGCTCACCCCGAAGAAGTGGCGAGGACCCGGCCGGAGACGGCCCTGGGTCTCGAGCCCAGGTCGTGGCAGCGGCCACCCTCCTACGCGACGTGGGATGGCTACATGCACTGAAGCCGGCTCCCGGTTGACAAAAAAGCGACCCTAAGCGGTTTAGGGTTTAGGGTTTAGGGTTTAGGGTTTAAGACGTCACATCAGACCGAAACGATGCTTCTGGTTTGAGTCGGTTGGATCCATGCTTCTTCCGTAGGCCCTGGCCGCCAGGTTTTCCTTGGCCGTCTTGCCACAGCTGAGCCCGAGCTGGGCTGTTACACCTTTCCGGACGACATCATCGACGTAAACCCTAAACCCTAAACCCTAAACCCCTAAACCCTAGAGGTGACGGAGGAGACGGTTAGCGCTGCGAGAGTCACACGCGCTCCACCAGGAGCCTGCGCGCCCAAAGGTGGGGTGTTGCAAGTGGAGGTTTCCGAACATGGGGGGACCTTAAAATAGTACCCTAAATAGTTGGATCCTTATTATAAGAAGGACCCCATCTAAGGTACCCCCTATTTTACCCTACATAGTAGGATCCTTATTATAAGGACTCCAAAATAAGGTACCTCCCATTTTCGGAAAAACTGACAAGTGACTCTCTCAGACTCGAAACGCACTCCGGGTACCAACGGTTCATCGAGCGCCGACATCCCCCCACCTCTTAGGGTTTAGGGTTTAGGGTTTAGGCACAACCTGTTTCTTGTTTCAGATCCGTTCTGAGACATGGCCGGATTTAATGTAGGGGGCCGTTACCTACATTAGTTTGGGGGTTCCTAGTTGTGTATATATATATATATGTATGTATATATATATATATAATATAATATTACGGCCCCCCAAGAACCCTATTCTACTTATTTAGGCTCCTGCATTACACCAGAAAGGGTGCTTTGGACCCCAATCTTGATGCCGAAGCTCCGCATCCTCGCCCCTTCTGTCCGTCCGACCCCTTGAAGCCTTAACTCTACTTGGAGGTTCATGGGTAGTTATAAGTGGAGTTATGAGTCCCCTAATATGGTTATAACTATAGTTGCCCTACTTATAACCCCGCTAATAACTACACCTGAACCTCCAAGTATAACCCCTTCATCCATTGAAAACGGTCCGAAACCCTGGGCCCAAACCCTAAACCCTAAACCCTGAACCCTGAACCCTGAACCCTGAACCCTGAACCCTCAACCCCTAAACCCTAAACCCCTAAACCCTAAACCCTAAACCCTAAAAGCCACAAGTCCATACAGTCCGAAAGAGACAGGAAGCCCTGCAAAAACCCGACTAGCCCTCGGCCAGATACCTTGAACTAGGCCCTTACAGTTTTGGGTTTAGGGTTTAGGGTTTAGGGTTTAATATACGGGCCTTAATACTTAGAATAGGGCTTGGGGGGGGCCCTTTCTACTATAAGTATAATAAGGAGCCGTCAAACTAGTAGAGGTAGTTACTTAGGCCCCTACATTCCGCTAAGGTTTAGGGTTTAGGGTTTAGGGTTAAGGGTTTAGGGTTTAGGGTTTAGGGTTCAGGGTTCAGGGTTTAGGGTTTAGGGGTTTAGGGGTTTAGGGTTTAGGGGTTTGGGTTTAGGTGAGCGTATGCAGCAGGAGGACGTGATGAATCAGTTCCGGCAGTGGTGGCAGCAGAACCAGGCTCGCACTCCCAGGTCCTAAACCCTAAACCCTAAACCCTAAACCCAAATTCTGTTAATAGGTTATTTCCTAGGTAGTCTTAGGGAGACCCCTTTAAAGGAGACCCTTCTGAGCCCTACTTATGGCTCTCTTGAAGGGGACCTTATTGAGAGGGTCTATATCCCCAATCGGGACCTTAGTAGTTTCAATAGGGTTTTGGGGTATATTATGCTATAATCATAGAAAGGAACCGCCAAAACTTTGAAGCTAAGATTTGTCGTTTGGGGAGCTTTGTACGCTCTGCACTCTACACCCTACTTGGAGGTTCAGGGGTATAGTTATAAATGGGGTTATAAGTAGGGTAACTACAGTTATAACCCATATTAGGGGACTTATAACTCCATTTATAACTACCTATGAACCTCCAAGTAACCCAGAAACCTTATAAACCCCCTAAGCCCCAATCAACTCATTGCTTGGTGCAGACAGCCGCGGCCGTCGCCAGGGACGTCGGCGAGACGTTGCTGAGCAAGGCCCCTTCTCCTGTTTCGTGTTTGGTGGGGAAGCCCTAAACCCTAAACCCTAAACCTTTAAAAAACCTAAACCCTAAACCCTAAACCTTTCAAACAACCCTAAACCCTAAACCCTAAACCTTATTTGCAGCGACCTTGGAATATGGGTCCTCCGGCTTTGGGGTTGTTCCTGGGTATCTAATCGAACGTCCATAGGTCCAAAGGTTTGAGGGTCGGGTTGCGGGGTTTACGGTCACGGCTTCGGGGCTTTATTGCGGTTTCGTGATTGTGCTTAGAGCCCTTGACTTAAATTGCCCGAGATCCCTAAACCCTACACCGTAAATCTGAGGCTTAGGGTTTAGGGCTGCGGAGCATGCCCTACCGTAGGGATGTCCTGTAGTTGTCGGGATGGTTCCGCAGCGACGATTTAGGGTTTAGAACTATAGGGTTTAGGGATATAGGCCTTGAGTAACACATTAGGGTGGTTGGTGTGTGTGTGTGTGTGTGCGCGTGTTCAAAAAGACTTTGGAAGAACGTGCTGGCACTCGTATTACCATCATTATCATCATTATCATTATCAGTGTCATCATTAACATTATTATTAATCATGCGGTTCATGGGATTTTAGCTTAGAGCCTTAGAGATCAGGTCGACATTTTTGCACGAAGACAAGCTACTGAGATTTTCGCTTTTCACCGGTCTGCGGAAGAGCCTTCGCCATTTTTTGCTCTTTGCTGGTATAATTTTTTCGAAGTGCCTGAAGTGTCTTGATTCCACTGTCACGAGCCTACCGGCTGTCCGATGCTGCTGTTCGGTACTCAGTCCCGGCCTAATGCTAACTAATCCCGTAGTCAGAATTGATCGAATCCGCCCAGATGATCATGGTCTCATCCATGCAAGAGCAGCGGCGAGAGCGTCGCTGGCTGGCAGGCACACCCAAAAGCTTGGCCAAGTCGCCGGATGCTGACGTTTGTCTCTTTTTTGACAGCGGCTGGGCTGCAAGCCTGCCAGGAATATTTTGCTGCAGTTCCGCGGCCCGACAGGGCGCCGGTCACGGATGCTTTTGCTCTTTGCACAACTCAATCCGCGGCCGTTTGATGGTCTACCCAACGGCCAATGGCCATAAACCTGTCCTTCCCAGACGCCCCGCACACGGAAATGATTCTGTCTCCCCAGTTCTGCAAGCCCTTAAACTCATCCAGAAACCTACTAACTAGCACCCCTCACAT